ACACTTGTAAGCATCCTTTGATTCAGGTTTGTAAAACAAACAAAAACACCCTACCAAGTCCCCAAAACCAGTAACCAGTATTCTTCTTTTTTTAACTACAATCACCAGACTGACTAGGACTACAACCAAAACCAACCAACCACGATGGAGGACGCAAGCGTGGACGTGCTCCGACTGCTCATGGAGAAGCTTCCCCTTCAGGCGAAGCTGACCACCTTGCGCTCGGTGAACCAGAACTGCAAGGCAATCGCCGAGGAGCTGTGCTCCAAGCAGCGGACGCTCACCCTGAAACTGGGCACGGGCGGGCACTTCGAGGAGATCGTCGACCGCCTGGAGAGCAGTCCCACTCAGCTGATCAACGTTATCAGCGGTGGTCCTGGTGGTAGTCCTGGTGGTGGTGGTGAATTCGACGACACAATCACCGCACAGGAGCTGACTCGAGCGGCGGCCACCACGCTGACCACCTACCTGCCCCGCCTGGAGACGCTGGCCGTGGTGGTGGACGATCTGAAGGAGCGCGCCGTGGAGCCGCTCTTCAAGTACCTTCCGAAGCTGTTCGCCGCCTACCAGTCCACGCTGACCACCCTGCAGCTGGTGTTCAACGTCGAGGAGCACCTCTTTCTGCGCGCCTTTCCGCTGATCATCTCCAGTGTAGTTGGTTCGCTGCGCAGCCTGCGTCAGCTGGCCATCACCGACCACACCGGGACGGTGCACCTTCCGCTCTTTGACCTCTCCCACCAGATCCGGATCAGCCTCGACACGGTGGACATCAGCGCGCCGGCCACCTCGCCGCTGGAGCTCTTCCGCCAGTGGATCGACTGCCTGGAGGGGCGAACCAGGATTCCTCACTTGATGCGGATCAACTTTCAGTCGAGCCGGAAGACGGTGGCCAGCGAGGAGGAGTTCCGGGAGTTTGCCGTTGCCGCCCCCGGGGTGGGCGGCCACTTTGTCTCCTTTCCACCGGTGGCGATTGGCGGCGATTCGGAGGCCTTCTTTGAGGAGTACGTCGCCAGCCTGCCCAACGTCCGCTCCGTCTCGCTGGACATCGGGCAGGTGGTGGCCTTCGGCGAGGCGCTCGGCCGGCTGGCGCTCAGCCGCCTGGGCGCCACCTTGGCCGTTCTCAACTTGAGCACCAGCGAGCCGCTGCCGATGATGCCCTTTAATTATGAGGGAATCTTTGGTGGCATTCCTCCCGTTCTGCCGGCGCTGAAGCAGCTGCAGCTGATCACCCGCAAGACGTTGGCACTGCCCAATGACGCCAATGACGCCCACGCCCAATTCGAACACGCCCGCTTTGAGGAGCTGCAGCTGCAGCGAGTGGCGCCCAACGTTCAGGACGTCACGTTGCAGATTTCCGCCTCTCGCTGCGAGGCCTGTGGCTGGTCGCTGAAGGTTCCATCACCACCACCGCCGGAAAACGCCGCCGTAATTCCTCTTCTTCCACTTTCTCCTAGTCCTCGCCGTCATCTTCGCCAGACCGAGCTGACCACCGAGGATGATGAGCCGAAGCTGGAGAGGGGCGCCCTCCGCCTGGCGGAAATCTTCAGCCAGGCCAAGCCGAAGAAGATGAAGGTGCGCTTTCTAGTCTGCGAGGGCTACTTTCCGATCATCTTCTCAGCTGATTTTACCGGTGAGCAGGTTAGCGTGCGGCGGTTTGGGCCGATCATCTGAAATGTGCGTAAGTATAAGATCTGTCATCTGTTTGTCCTTTTTCAGCTGTTTTCATTTCAAAATGTTTTCTTTTCAGAATTCAGGTTTTGGGTGAGAGAATTTGACCAAAATGTTTGCTTCCTGTTACTTCTTTTTTTTGTATTCTTCATTTCCTTCTTTATTCATTGTACTATCTTGGACTAGCTTGGACTTTTGTTTTTATATTTTTTATCTGTGAATGCCGCTGCACTTCGAAGTCACCACAGTGCAATCTTATCGTCTCAAATTTACTACACAAGATTCGACAACACTTTTTCAAAACATCAAAGCTACTTGTTATGGTACAACAACAATGTTGTTGTACAGACTCCTCTCACAGCAACCGGTTCCAACACCTACCCACAGACACACCTACACACTTACTCTTGGGTTGCCCTCAATACACACACACACACACACACACACGATTACAATTCAACCTTCACAACATCACCTCACTGCATGGATTCACAACAAACAAACAGAGACACATACAGCTTATTCCGTGCACTTTGCGTCTGCACATTTACACACACACACACACACACACACACACACATCAGAACATACCTCGATTAGCATCCTTTTGATCTCTCGGACTGACCAGCAAGCGCACCTCTAATTGAACGATGATGATACACCTTCAGACAATCCCCACTTGTGATTATATTTATTAATCTTATGTTCATTGTTTATTGTTTCTAAGTTTTCCTTTTTGACGAAATACTCTCTCTCTCTCTCTCTCTCTCTCTCTCTCTCTCTCTCTCTC